AATAGTAATAGTATAAGTATAGTAGCAAAAATTTTGTACCTTACCTAATTTCCATGTTCGATTTTGTAATCAAAATTTTCCTTGAGATGGGTACCTTGATAATGGTGAGGGTGGGCTCTTGATCCAAGAAACTGGACATATCCTCCTCTTCCTCGCATCAAACCTAAGTATCTCTCAGAGGGTATATAAACCCTACTGATTAGCACCGCCCCATTAGAATAAGCAAAATTGTAATGAATTCAGATTATTTTAACTTCCTATCCCGAGGGACAGGAGGATGGGAAGAGAGCCTTTTGCTATACTATCCTCATTCTGTAGAGAGTAGTAATCATAGTTTAATTTTCTGCAAATAAGTTTCTGTCCCAATAAGTGCATCTCTTTCTCACTATACCATTGCAATCACTACTACCACCATCACCACTACCACCATACCACTACCACCAACACTCCCCCTTTCCCCCTGCCGCAACCACCATTACCACCCCTGCAGTGGCTGGTAATGGGTGTTCAACTGAACATCTGTCAGCTTAATGGAGTGTTGAGACGAGTAATGAACTCCTGGTCCAGATGAACACAAGATAACAGCTTCTCTTTCCCAGCTGGTGATGGATACGTTGAGTGCCACACCACACAGTCCTCCCACCAGGCACTGCCTGGCCCTCTGTACACAACCACGCACAAACCATCCCTAACATTGCCTCTTGCCCCCTAAACGCTAAAATATCCTCCCACTAAAAGCCTGGACAGACACGACCCCGTTAACTCCTTCCTGGGTTAATAATTCCCAGCGCCTTGAGGGTATTTGAGGATGCAGCATCCCTCTTGGACCAAGATGCCGGGATCGCAAGCTGGTCCAGTGTCACCAACCAGTCTGAGAAAAAAATGTATACTAATTTATTGGATGAGATAGTGAGAAAGTTGTTGCCAGAACGGTGGGTACATCAAGTCCCTGGTAATAATTTAATAGGTGAGAAAGGCAACAAGGGAACCGTGGTTCTTGTATCGCATCTGTGAGGCTGCGGAGATGTGTGGCGAGTCCCTCGCTACCTCTCTCTCTGAGAGCATCATGCTTGGGGAATTAGACACATATAGGCCACACCTAGGTGTCTCGGCTGAAGAACTTTTCGCCTATCATTGGCCTTTTTTCAATATAATACGCAAATGATGTATGATAACAGTTTAATATGAGGTAAATGGCTGCTCAGTCTTGCAGAACTACACACAGAAGGCTGAGGAACTGACTTCTGTACCTTCTACTGTCTTCGGATGTCTCCATACTGAATTAAAAAAAAAAACACGATACCAAGGTGTTGCATACGTTATTCCTTATTTTGTCTATCTTATATAGCAGTTTTGGGGGACGAAATTTCAGGGTGAAATATGACACTAATCTTCAACATCGAATATGTAGTGATAATTATTAATGGGGTGAAAATTTTACTTGGGGTGTAGACCAGCATATGTTTAATTACATTATAAAATATCTGATGGATAACACCTGTACACGTGGAAGAAGTTAATTCTGGAAATAAGAATTTGTTTGTAAATGTGAATATCGTTTCGACATATTCATCAATGTTAAATAATTTGTAGAAATTTTTTTTTGGGAAGGCAGGCGCGCGCACACACACACACACACCACACACACACACACACACACACACACAGGCGAGGTTTGATAAAGCTCGTGGAGTAGGGAGAGAGAGAACCTAGTAGCTGTCAGCGAAGAGGCGGGGCCAGGAGCTATGACTCAACCCCTGCAACCACAAATAGGTGAGTACACACACACACACACACACACACACACACACACACACACTCACACAGATCACACACACACACACACACACACACCACACACACACTCACCACACCAGGCGAGGTTTGATAAAGCTCGTGGAGTAGGTGAGAGAGAACCTAGTAGCTGTCAGCGAAGAGAGCGGGGCCAGGAGCTATGACTCACCCTGCAACCACAAATAGGTGAGTACACACACACACACACACACACACACACACACACACACACACACACACACACACCTTGCTTTTAACTTTCTTTAACGGAATAATTCATCAGACTACAACCCGAACCCAACACACCTGGCTGGCTCTGGCTACGCTTCGTGTAATTTACTTAGCTGACCTTTTCATTCCTGCCCCCTTCTCATGGCTGTAGATCCATTCCTGGGACCTCACTATCACTCTACCACAACAACAACACCCACAAACCATTACCACAAGTCACCAAAACATGTACTAAGAACAAGTTCATGTGTTGACCTGATCCGAAGAAGTAACCAAATCTGCCTAAAACCCTCACGGTCATAAGCACCTGTGGATGGCGCTAATAGGTTAGATATTGGCCATTTAGGTCACCCGCTTTCTTAAGTATTTAGTCTTCACTTTTCCTGCCGTTTGCACTTTCGACTAACTACTACTTTTTTTTCCGATTACACGTGTCGTTGTACCTCTCCCTTTCTCTGACCTTCCAGGATTATTTGGTCTCTAATGGCCTGTCAGAGTCTTCATGGCATCAACAATCCTTTTAATAGAATGGAAGGAGATTAAGATATTCACCATTTCAAAACCTTCTTAATATATTTTTTCTTTTCATTTCCCTCTTTGCCCCTTTCTTATCTACTCTTCTTCTTCTTCTTTTTTTCTAATTTTCTAATCATTTCTCCATTCTTTTTCTACTTTTTCTTTCTTCAATTTTTTTTTTTACTTTCTAAACATTATACTAGATTATTTTGTTACATTGATCATAGATTGTCCTTATAAAATATTGCTATTAAATTATATTCTGTCCTCATTCCCTTTTTTCTTCCTCTATACTTCTTCGTCGTTCCTTCTTCTTCACTTTATTTTATTTTCTAATCATTGTCTCCTTCTTTTAATCTACATTTATCAGTATATTTTAACATTACTGATTGGTCTCCTGCCACGTACTACTGGTTCTGAAACAGATATGGGACTAGAGGGAGAATACTGCGTTGTGAAGGCTCATCATGGGGTCAACACGTCCTCGTACTTACTGATTGTCTTCTGTAACCCACTGATTGTCTTCTGTAACTCACTAATTGTATTCATGTAACCTACCGATTGTCTTCTGTAAGCCTACTGATTGTCTTCTGTTAACCTACTGATTGTCTTCTGTAACTCACTAATTGTATTCTGTAACCTACTGATTGTCTTCTGTAACTACTGATTGTCTTCTGTAACTCACTGATTGTATTCTGTAACCTACTAATTTTCTTCTGTAACTCTCTAATTTGTATTCTGTAACCTACTGATTGCCTTATGTAACCTACTGATTGTCTTCTGTAACCTACTGATTGTTTTCTGTAACTACTGATTGTATTCTGTAACCTACTGATTGTCTTCTGTAACCTACTGATTGTCTTCTGTAACTCACTGATTGTATTCTGTAACCTACTGATTGTCTTCTGTAACCTAGTGATTGTCTTCTGCAACCTAATGATTGTCTTCTGTAACCTAGTGATTGTCTTCTGCAACCTAGTGATTGTCTTCTGTAACCTAGTGATTGTCTTCTGTAACCTACTGATTGCCTTCTGTAACCTACCGATTGTCTTCTGCAACCTACGATGTCTTCTGTAACTCACTAATTGTTTATGTTAACCTACTGATTTCTTCTGTAACCTATGATTGCTCTTCTGTAACCTACTGATCGTCTTCTGTAACCTACTGATCGTCTTCTGTAACCTACTGATCGTCTTCCGTAACCTACTGATCGTCTTCTGTAACTTACTGATCGTCTTCTGTAACCTACCGATTGCCTTCTGTAACCTACCGATTGTCTTCTGTAACCCACCGATTGTCTTCTGTAACCTACGATTGTCTTCTGTAACCACTGATTGTCTTCTGTTAACTACTGATCGTCTTCGTAACCTACCGATTGCCTTCTGTAACCTACCGATTGTCTTCTGTAACCCACCGATTGTCTTCTGTAACCTACCGATTGCCTTCTGTAACCTACCGATTATCTTCTGTAACCCACTGATTGTCTTCTGTTACCTACTGATCGTCTTCCGTTACCTACTGATTGTCTTCTGGAACCTACCGATTGTCCTCTACAACCTACCGATTGTCTTCTCTAAAACCTACTGATTGTCTTCTGTAACCTACCGATTGTCTTCTCTAACCTACTGATTGTCTTCTGTTACCTGCTCTACACCTCTGTGGGAAAACGGCGCTGACGTGTTCAGAAACTATAATATGACCGCTGACACGCTGTTACTTTCCCCTCGTAACAGACTGACAGATGATAGGCCATGATTATGCTTAGTAACTATTACAATAAGCGTGTAAATCACAGAAATGATGTTATATTGCCTGGAAGCATACACATTTTCCGTGATTTTAAATCGAACTTAGTAGAATCGTAATACTCTCCTTTTTACTGTTCAGTTTGGTGACTGAAACAAGAAGCCTGTATATAATATAATATATATATATATATATATATATATATATATTATATATTATATATATATATATATATATATATATATATATATATATATGTTGTGTGTGTGGTGTCGAAACGCGGCCCGTGGGTTGTGATCAACCAGGCTGTTGCTGCTCAGTTGATCTGGCGCTTATTGGTCCGGTTTCCCCTTAGAAACCTTGCAACAAGTGTCTGATCACCTAATTTACTCAAGTGAAAAAGTGGATTGAAATCTTTATATTCTGGAGATTTGTGAATCCAAGATTCTTCAGTCTTCTTACCTAATCTTGAGTCTTCTTACCTGGTCCAGAATCTTCTTACCTGGTCCATGTGAAGTGCTTAACATGACTGGTTCATACATGGTTCATCTCAGTTCGAAAACAGCAAGGAATCTAGATTTGTGCTCTTAATTAGACAGTAATCTAGATGTGTGCTCTAAATTAGATAGTAAATCTAGGTTTGGGCTCTTAATTAAAGTGTAATCTAGATTTGGGTTCTTAATTAGAGAGTAATTTAGATTTGTGATCTTAATTAGAGAGTAATCTAGAGTTGGCCTTACTAGGAGGAGGCCATGATGTGGGCCACTTGTTGAAGAAAGTGGCCCGGGTGAGCCAAACGTGGGTTACCCAACGATAAAGAGCTTGAAACAATGGATTCTAAGGTGGCCAAGATGTGTGGCCCTGCGAGGAGGTTGAGGTGGCCAAGACGTGTGGCCCTGCGAGGAGGTAGTGGCCAAGCCATGTGGCTCTGCGTGGAGGACGTGACCAAGGCATGTGGCCCTGTGTGGAGGAGGTGGCCAAGACGTGTGGCCCGGGGTAGAGGCGGGGGAGGGGGGAAAGGTGACCGGGTGGGTGCGCAGCGCAGTAATGGCAGTCGCGAGGAGACACCCGCAGCTGTCGGAGCAACACCGTCGCCGCCTCCGCAGTTCCGCAGACGTTGCCGCACAGCGCAAACGCGCACACGCAGCGCACGCACCTGAACTCTTTCGTTCACATTCACTCGCACGCACTGCGCACGCACCTGTAATTAATCGCGCAGCTCACTCGGGTCCATAGGCACAGCGTTCCGCTAATCCTTCTGCTTACTGTGCCTGCTGTGCTTAATGTGCCTGCTGCTGTTGCTGCTGCTGCTTGTGCTTCACAGTGAGGTGTGGAACAGCAACCATCCTGGGCTCCTGCTGCTGCTGCTGCTGTTGTTGCCGCTGCTGCTGCTGCTGTTCCCACCACTAACACTACTACAATACACGGTGCTGCTGCCGCTGCTGTTCCCACTGCTGGCTATCACTTCTGCTACTCTGCATGCTGCTGTTACTGCTGCTGTGCCCACCTCAGCCTAACCCTCAAATTTATACTAGCACAGCATCCATTCACAGCTCCTGCTGCTTTGCCAACCTCTGCCTCATCTGCTAATCTGCTGTTCCTACTGTTATATTAGAAGAGTGTCATGCTGTAGAATCTACAGAAACCTGTGGAGTTTTCAGACATTCCTTGTAGTGGCTTGGCGTGGTGTTGTCCGGACGCCTCCTGACATTGGGAGTCACTAGACAGGTTTTTAGTGTCCAATTGTAAATGTGATTTAGTTTTTTCTTTCTATACTCTGTATCGTCCAGTGTGCGTGTCTGTCTAGATAAAAAAAAAACAGAAATGTAATTATATCTTTGTACTGACTGTTATAAACTGTGGTGGTTTCCAATTAAAAGTAACAGATGTCGAGCAAGTGCACACTCTACATACGCATTTGCTCGGGTGTTATATGCAAATGCACAGTGACTTTCCCTCTTTGAATCACTTGAGCAGATCTGTATGCGTCTGTAGAGAAGAGAGTGTCGGACATACCGCAGACTGCGTATGACGTGGTACAAGACTGTACGTCAGGATTTACTGTGTAATGTCGCAACTGGACAAAGAATAATAGTCTTATGCACACGCTTATCCCCTTTGAAGACAACTCACCATAGCACTATCGTCAGAAAAGTCAAATAATCATAATTAAATATGTATAAATTATTTGCTCTCAGCGTCGAAATAAGAACGCAAATCGGAGAATAAGACTAGCAGATCGATACAGAAAAAAGTGGTGAAACATAAATAAATCTCTAGCTGCCAACCTCGCCACAGGATCCCAACAGGAAAGGTGAGAAAAGTGGGCGTGTTAAGCGGCTCCTGCCGATATGAGGGGGTGGTGCTAACATCACCGCGCCTGGGAGGGGAGAGGAGGAGGAGGAGGAGTCCTGGGGAAGGCAGAGGAGGAGTCCTGGGGAAGGAGGAGGAGGAGGAGGAGGAGGAGGCGGTGGTGGTGGTGGTGGTGGAGGAGGAAGCAGGAGGAGATTTCTCGAAGATTGGGGGACCCAGAAGGAGGAGGAAGGGAAGGCCGGGTCACTCGTCTGACTCACTCATCACTTATCCTTCACTGGTTCTGACGTCCGTTTTGAGGACGTCATTAACGAGAATTTCTCCAACGGAGACGCTAAAGAGGTACTATGTTAAGTGAGGTGACCGTAGCTGTGTGAGCGCCTCGGGCTGTTGTCATTGCTGGGCGTAATTGGTAGTTTGCCGGGCTGATTGTGGGACTTTTACCGGTGAAATCCAGGAAGTAGAATATTCTAATGCCCCCGTATTTCTGTCGTGGTGAGACAGGGAGGGATATTAGCCAGATTTTTTGCCTTCTCGGGTGTTCGGACAACATGACAGTGGCCATGGCTTCCTCTAAGGCGGAAGTGCATGAGAGGGACTTGGTGATGCGTACGAAGCGCGGGTCGCCGACGGACGATAGGGATTCGGACACGAGTGTCAGGATTCCACAAGTGAATAACTGGAAAGATGATCAAGCTCCACAAGCAGCAGTAGCGACGGACGAAGAGAGCGATGCTGGGAAGAGCAGCTGCAGGAGGAATTCAGCTTCGATGATGTACGCTGAACCCACAGACTTGAGCGTGAAAAAGCACAACCCCACTAGCAACCCTACAAACAACAACAACAGCCATCACACCAACAACAATCACCTGGAGATGCAGATCCCCAGTCCGAGGTTGAGTCTCAGCTCCATCGGCAGTAATAATAACAATAGCCAAAGCAACAACCCACTTCATCCCTCCCAACGCCGAACCAGCAGCCAATTTTCCCCTCCGCCTTCCGTTAAGAGTTCCTTTTCCATTACTAACTTGCTCAGACCTCCGCCAAAAACCAAAGAACTGCCCGAAGACCTCAGCAGGGCTGGGAGGAACAGCGTGCTGCCTCTACACGAAGTCTCTGTAGCGCCCCAGCCCATCGAACCACCACAGTCTGAGGCTAAACATCCGGCCGTGAAGAGGAAGATCGAAGAGGTGGAGCAGGAGATTGATGTGGAGGAAGAAGAAGGTGAGGAGAAAGACTGCGACGCTGAGGAAGAGGAGGACGAGGAGGACGTCGGAGGAGATATGGGAATCAGCGAGACACTTCTCAACGATGAGTCCAAAGGTAGGGAAGCTCAACGACCTACTGCATCTATTATCTCTCTCTCTCTCTCTCTCTCTCTCTCTCTCTCTCTCTCTCTCTCTCTCAACCTTCAGCCTCACCTTCACTACAATTCACAGCTATACACAATTCGAAAAAGAAACTTGACATCTTTCCATCCATCTTATCCTCACAACTATTGCGAGTAGATAAGGATGCAGAGACAGACCGAAACGTCATCAATCCTTTCCAAATTGTGGATTAGTCTGAACTGTCCCAGTTACGGTACAGTGACTCTTATTCTTCTCATTTCTTATTGCTATCTCCGTACATCTCAGGCACCAGCAGAGAGCTAGCACCACGCTCAGTCATTAACACTGGGGATGATAATTCTCAATGACTCCCCCAGTACACTTGACTTAACATTTAACGATTGTGATACAGTACCCAGCGTCCGAGGCATCACATTCATAATGAATGCTAAACGATCATTTCAATGTTATTATCAATGCATAAATGTTTCCTTACACTTGCTGTCCCTGTTCACCTAGCAGTAAGTAGGTACCTGGGTGTTAGTCGACTGGTGTGGGTTGCATCCCGGGGGGTGGTAGTATACCTTACACAGGCTGGACTGATTTGCATATAAAAAGAATGAACACTTTCATCGTCATTCATATATATATATATATATATATATATATATATATATATATATTATATATATATATATTTTAATATATATTATATATACACTTCGAAATATACAAGAATGCGTGTGATCGCCCGCGGATACGCGTAGACATACTTGCGGATGCATGCGCGCACCTGCGGGTAATTTCACATACGCGAGGATGCTACCTTCTCCATGATAATTTTCCCCTTACTGCTGAGGCCAGCACCCGAGGCTGTGAATTGCATTAACCACAACTTGTTTATGTTCTCCTTACGGATCTTCCTGTAAGTCGACTTTCAGAACACAGTTATTTAGTAATTCCTCATAGACCTGCATAAACAACATAAACCTATTTAACTATGTTTTGCTTATAAAATATCCAACATTACCCACAATGTCAATTTTTTGATGCAAGTACTATTTTATATTTTTTAAGTTAGGTTAGGAGAGTTTATGTTAGTTCAAGGTTGGTTAGGATTACATTACTTTTTCTAGAGTTGGCTAACTAATGTTAGTTTTTTAAAGGTTTATTTAAAAATGAGCATTTTACCATAAATAACTAGATCATAAAAGGACCGCTATAATCTAGCACAGGAGATATACATGGTGAGGGGTATATCACCGAGACTTTATTTTCAACCCCTACTTTATAAAGTACTCCTGACTGGTGGTGAACAGGTGACATGCAGCTTTAGTGACCCTCGAGTACTCAGTAGCCTTTATACCCCAGTAAACAAAACAAGTCTGGCAACAAGATGGCCCAGCGTAGCCAGGAAACGTACAAATTTGCGCGAGAGATCACTGACGAAGGAAGACGGTTTCGACATAAATATTTTTCCCGTTTTTGTACAGTGATAGTAAAAACGCCTCATTTGCATCTGAAGTATTTGGCACAAGTTTAGCATCGGTGTTGAAGGGCAATTAGGCAGTTAGGTTGCGTGGTTACTTATTAGGGTGGCGACAGGTACGGTAGTTAGGTGAATAATTACGTGTGGGCGCATATACGACCTTGGGGAAGCTATGTTAATGTAGAGAGAGAGAGAGAGAGAGATAGAGATAGAGATAGAGAGAGAGAGTGAGAGAGAGAGAGAGAGAGAAATGGGAGATTTTTTGTTTAATTTTCGCCTAAGATTTAGAGAGATATTAACGCTCCAGAAAGAAGTTATCCTATAATAATTAGTTTCTTGATTATGATCGACACACACATACACACACATATACACACACACACACACACACCACACACACACACACACACACACAACACACACACACACATACACACTTTACACACACACAATCAACACACACAATCACACACACACAATCACACACACACAATCACGCACACAATCACACACACACACAGTCACACATACACCTCACACACACACATCACACACACACATCACACACACACACAACCACACACACAACCACACACACACAACCACACAACACACACACACACACACACACACACACACAACCCCACACACACACACACACACACAACCCACACAGACACACATATTTTACACACACACCCCACACACACATATATATACACACACACACACTCACCAACACTCACACACACTCACACTCACACTCTCACACTCACACTCACACTCACACACACACACACACTCACACACACACACACACACACACACACACACACACAACCACACACACACACACACACACAACCACACACTCACACTCACACTCACACACACACACACACACACACACACACACACACACACACACACACTCACGCACACACATACTCACACAGTCACACATAGCTGTCGCTACCATATACGATATTCGCTTAGCATATGTCAGGAATCCAAATGTTCTTAGTTTGTTTTTCTCCCATCTGTCTTCATTATGGCAGAGAAGGACGGAAGGAGGGAAGATTGGAAGGAAGCAAGGAGTTAGGGAGGGCGGAAGGAGGGAGGGAGGGAGGGAGGGAGGGAGAGAGAGAGGAACGGTGGGAAGCAGGCAGAGAAGTGAGGAATTGGAGAGGAATGTGCGGAGAGAGGGATGGAGGGAGAAAGGTAGAGACGAAAGGAGGTAGACACATGTAGGGAGAGAAATAGAAGCAGAGAGGAAAGGAGCTATAACGGAAGGGAGATTTTAGATATAATAAAGAAGGTCGGGAAAGGGAAAGGTTAAAACCGACATAATATATATAATACAAACTTCAATCATAAGTCACCAGAATAAACTATAAAAATCACTTATTACGGAATTTTTATAGTCATATAGAATCACCAAACCCGAAGGGGTTACAAAGCCTCTTGAAAATGCAAGGTAAGCAAATCTAGTGCAAGGAAAGGGAAGGGTAACTCCTGTGTTTTAGATCAAGAGCCTCTTCGCCGATATCAAGGCACTATGTCTTGTCCCTTGAACAGCCAATAGCAGACATGTAAAATACATTGGCTTTATTTTTTTTTTTTTTTTTTTTGGAAAATAAGGCACTCCAACTGTTTCGTTATTCAGTGCTAGGAACATACAGACAGAGAAGGTACCTGAGCCGTTGTGGTCAGATTTAGCAAGACAATTCAACGCTGGAAAATTTTTGGTCTCCGAGAGTTCCCCTTCAACGCTGGACAATTTTTTCTGACCTCCAAGAGTTTCCTTTTAACGCTGGATAATTTTTTGGCCTCCAAGAGTTTCCTTTTAACACTGGATAATTTTTTGGCCTCCAAGAGTTTCCTTTTAACGCTGGATAATTTTTTGGCCTCCAAGAGTTTCCTTTTAACGCTGGATAATTTTTTGGCCTCCAAGAGTTTCCTTTTAACACTGGATAATTTTTTGGCCTCCAAGAGTTTCCTTTTAACGCTGGATAATTTTTTGGCCTCCAAGAGTTTCCTTTTAACACTGGATAATTTTTTGGCCTCCAAGAGTTTCCTTTTAACGCTGGATAATTTTTTGGCTTCAAAGAGTTTCCTTTTAACGCTGGATAATTGTTTGGCCTCCAAGAGTTTCCTTTTAACGCTGGATAATTTTTTGGCCTCCAAGAGTTTCCTTTTAACGCTGGATAATTTTTTGGCCTCCAAGAGTTTCCTTTCACCTCGTCTCGCCTTCATTAGCCCAGTTTAGAGTGGCCTCCTGAACCCTGGGCGGGGCTGAGTGCTTGTAAACACACGGGACTGGGAAGCGTGTGGGAAAACACGTGACCAACCTCAATCACAAACCTCTCTAACCTCCGCTGCCTTTCTAATGCCGCTGCCCCTGACGCCAGCCACCCACTCAAGACCGGGGGGTCGAACCTTACTGCTTGTCGTGACAGTTTTGGAAGCACTGTTGTTACCGCCCTGCTTGACGTGACTTCTGCTTTAATAATAATAATAATAATAATAATAATAATAATAATAATAATAATAATATTATTATTATTATTATTATTATTGTTATTGTTATTAATCTTGAATTTTGAAGCTAAATTTCCTGAAGGAGAAAATTTTTTTGTTGGACACTGATAGTTGATGTCTGTATAGTTGACGTCACTGTGGTTGACGCCACTATATAACCGACGTCACTGTTTCTTTTTTTGGAATCACTAATAGATGACGTCGCTATTATCCACGTCGTAAGTTACTGAATTCACTAGAGCTAACGTCGCTGCCGCTGCTGCTTATTTGAAGTCACTGTGGCTGACGACGCCGCCGTAGTTATTGAGGTCATTCTTGGCTGACTTCGCCCCCAGGGCTGACGTCACTATGGGTTGAGGAGAACTGATAGTTCCCACACCTTCCTACCGCCACCTTCAGGCGAATTTGAAGTCTCTCACCAGACTTGACCTCAAACCCCTGCGGCCGCTTTGGTCACGCTCTTTGCGCCTCTATCATTATCACACTTGTAAATCTCTCTATTATCTTTCCTCTATGCGTCTTTCTCTCCTTGAGCGAGCTCCCCGCCGGGAGAAGCAGGTGTAGACGAGCTCTCTACGCAGCATGAGGCGCCTCGATAGAGCTCTCTACGCAGCATGAGGCGCCTCGATAGAGCTCTACACGAGAATGATCTTTTCGTAACGTCGGTTTTACGTTATAATGGCCTGATAAAGCTCTACACTATAAGGTGACTTGATAAAGCTCTATATTACATGGTGACTTGACTGAGCTCTATACAGTGTAATAACTTGATAAAGCTCCATGTAGTAATGTCAATCGATAAAGCTCTGCACAGAATGGTAACTTGATAAAGCTCTGCTTACAGTATGAAGACATGATAAAGCTCGATATAGTGTGGTGACCACAGTAAGCTCTGCTTATCCTTCTTTCCACCATAATGGAATTTCCTTGCCTCGGTTCCCGAACCATTCTTTCTTAATTTC